TAATAGCACAAGCCTAATTAATGTGGATTTAAAACATTATTAAAGACAAGTAAGCAGTCATTAACCAAATTAGAACAAATAATCAAATTACAAATAACAAATAAATCCAATAGAACAAAGATAGGCTAAAAATTAAATAAATTTAATAAAAAATACAATTAAAAAATAAATGAAGTAAAATCAAATTTACAATTAATTTTTATTTTTACTCGGCAAGACATTTTTTTTCATAGTTTTGTGTGAATTCTTCTGTTCAAGCGCAAAACATAAATAACATAACAGTTTATGTTTTACTTATTATATGAATATGCATTTAGAGAACAGAGAATTTTTCACATTTGTTTAAGTTACAGCATTTTCACCCTTAAACCATTCAAACTGATTTAAGATCATATTTTTTTGCATGTTTGAAGCATGTATCTGCAATATGCCTCTAACATGAGCTCATATTATCGTGTTATTATGTTGTTTCTGTAAACTGAATGTTTAAATACAGCATTTAAAATCATATTATCAGTGTAGAGCATCAGCACAGACATACTGAACCATGAGCCCGAGGCTATAACACACTGCAGATCTGTGTACTGTAACATCATCTGTGTCACACACACACACCTGACAGCTGCTGATCTTACCTAGATCTCAATCAACACAGCCGTAGTTTCAAGCCAGACCTCCAACATGCTCAAACCAGCTTTAAATTATATATAACGTGTGACAACTTGCCCCGGTCTGACTTACAGAGTCTGGATTTGCATTCGTATGTCAAGTATAAATCGTTAGATTCAAACTTTTAGTTTCAGTTCAGTCGAATCACTGCAGAAAGTCTCGTAGAACAGCGTGTGATGTGATCTAAGGTGTGGTTGTGTGTTCTGGCGCCCCCTGGAGGACGAATCAGCACTTACTGGACATTACTGTGTCATCTGTGTGTGTGTGTGTAGATTACTGTGTCATCATCTCAGATTATTGTTCTTGCTGACAATCAGAAGGATGTTTCATGTTCTCATTTTAATATGTCAATGATGTGAGTTTGTGAGCACTAGTTGTTGTTGTCCAGACGGTGGCGCTGTTTGATTTCTGATGATTTGAGTGTGTGATGTGTGATTTAAACAGACCGTGTGTGAAAACAGTCCCGCTGCTTTTGTTTCAGGTGTGTTTTCTCCAGTGTTGAGTGAATGTGCTTCTTGATTTCATGAGATGCAGGAATCAATGTGCCTTTGCATTTGGACCAGAACCAGATGTTTAGTCAGCGTTTGCTGGTCCAGCAACCTATGCATTATCATAATGAGACGCAATTAATCACGGCTGCCTTCATTCTCATTATCAAAGTGTTTTTAATGCACGGATTGAGAAGTTTGCTATGGTATAATTAGGATGCAACTTCTCCAGTGAGCTCGGTTTGTTTTATTCCTGCTGTGAGTGACCCGTACAACTCATTTCTGACGGATATGGCGGATAGAGATGTTGTGTGTTCAGGTCGACTGTCTGTCACACACTCGTTCGGTTATTACATCCAGACACACAGCGCTGAATGTTATATTATAAAGCAAAAATACAGCAATCTGGAACATAAGAATTCTTAAAGAAAAGCTGCTTTATTGCATTAGATAAATAATATCAGTAAAGAAAGACACATATGAAGAGTTCAGATGCAAAAGCCTCTAAATGCCATTTGAAATTTTCTTCTTTAATGATGATTTTTATCAAACTTGTATATTTAAGTTCAGTAATTTCACTTAAATAACAATTAATAGGTAATCATCATTGCCATTTAAGTGAAATCACTGAACTTAAATATACAAGCTTGATAAAAATGATCATTCTAGAAGAAAATTTCAAATGGCACTTAGAGGCTTTTGCATCTGAACTCTTCATATATATTTAAGACATGCATAACCAAAAGTTTCTTCTGCTTACCTAGGCTTAATTTATTTGATTAAAAATACCAAAAAAAAAAAAAAAAAAAACAAACAAAAAAAACAGTAATATTGTGAAATATTATTATAATGTAAATCATCTGTTCTCTATGTGAATATACAGTAATGTGTAATTTATTCCTGTGATCAAAGCTGAATTTATCATCATTACTCCAGTCCTCAGTGTCACATGCAATAATTTAATTATTGGATGTGCAATAATTGCATTATTGCAATTATTGCATTGTCACATGTAACAAATTTATAAGTGCAATAACTTATAAATTTGAAGTACGATTTAGTTAAGATTTAGTTAGATATTGTGAAGGAACACTTTTGTTTCGTTTAAGAAATAGAAACATTATTGGGCACTTTCAGATGCGTGGATTTATATCAAGCCTTTCGGGACGTCTATGTTTAAAATACACACTTTAAATAATTAATTTATCAAGTACTTTATATAGTATAGGTTATTTTATTTAGTTTTTGCTCTATATGTCTATTGTGCTAAATCCAGCATATTTACGTCAACTATTTTTCCAAATAAAAATGAAATGGATGCGCCTTCATTAATCCAAATACATTTGAACATGACATTTTCGTTTCAGTGCGGATGAGAAACTTTTGGAAAACGCCTGAAAACACTAAATTGAGTTGAACCTCACAGAAGCTCTGATAAATAAATATCTGATGGTCCAGGTCTCACTCACTCACTATTATATGTTTGGTCTAAAACACTAAAACTGCTCTCATGTTTAATCGCAGGACAGCAAACGTGACTGTGTTAGGAAGAGTGTGTGAAGATACACATTTGAGCAACAGTGTGAAAGTGAACAGCACATTACAGGCACAACACCGCTATAAACATCAATATCTAAAAACATCGCTTCTAAAAACCTCCGTTTTCACAGTCCACACTACAATGCGTAAATGACATTTTCAAATTGATCCACTTTTGAGAGCGTTTTCATTAATAAAAACGACAAAACGGAGTGAAAAAGTTGCGTTTTCAAGCGAATACGTAATAGTGGATTAATTATTATTCTGATTGTTTGTTCCTGCAGAAAACTCTCTGTTGCGGCCGGAGGACATCTGGATGCTGGACGGGGATGAGTCCATTACCCATGATGCTTTGTGTCGTCCCTGCAGACCCGATCACCTGGACTTCCTGAGAATCACACCGCCTGAGGATGACATCATCGGGGACACTCCGTACTATCCGAAGCTTGGACTAACAGTGAGTTGATCAGCGCTGACACGACTGACCTGGTGATTTACACTATATATGATGTTAGCAGGAACTTATAATCATATTAGTGAAAATATGAGCAGTACACACAGAGTAAAGACGAGTGCGGGAAAATACCAGCATACTGACACACCCGTGACCCCACCTGAAACACACACACTGATCTCAGAGCAGATTAGACGGGTGTGACACACACACCACAATGCACCGCAAATGTCAGACGACTTGACTCGATGAAGGCGATGATTAAGGCTTTGTCTCATCACTCAACAATAGATCATGTGACCTGCTGTGATTTTCAGGCTGAACTCAAACTCTGTTCGCTAGATCTGGTGTGATTGTTCTGGATCCGGAAGTTTAGTGTGTTGTTGTTTGACGGCTCAAGAAACCGCAGTAATCGCCTCTCTTGCGTAACAAGAGGCCCGGTTATAATCCAGTGCACACTTCATAACCTCCCCGCGCTTGTAGAGCTCCAGTTCGTTACAGTGTTAATAACTCTAATTAAGAGAGACGAAGTACATGTTGAACTGTGGTTTTCAGCTTTAACTCGTCCAGAGCGTTCAAGGTTTCGGGTCACAGAGACGACCCGAAACACACTTTTATAAACACGATTTTATTAATGATTTCATCATTCTTAAATGATTTTTTAAGAATTTAAAGAATTTATTTTATTTTGTCAGGTTTTTTTTTAATTACATTTATTTATCTTGCCTTTATTTGATGTTTTTTGCCTATGTTTTTTATATTATAATAGAGAAATAATATTCAATGATTTTATCAGCTTATCAGATTTAAAACAATTTTTTAAAAACTTTATTAGCCTTTATTTTTTTTTGGCCCATATTTTTAATTAATGATTTTTCTTTTCAGCTGCAAAACGTGTTTTCCCTTTATTTTTCTTTCGTAGTATATTTTTGTTTGCATTATAGTATTAGTATATTAATGTTTTTACATTATCATCTAAGTATTTATTCTTTTATTTTAGTTATGTGCATGCTGTGTTTTTGTTTGTTACTTTTATTCCAGGTATGTGTTTATTTTAGGGCTGTGCAAAAGTTAATTGCGATTAATCGCATCCAAAATAAAAGTCTGTGTTTACATAATATATTTGTGTGTGCTGTATATAATTATTTTGTATATATAAATACCTATGCATGCATGTATATATTTAAGAATTATTTGCGCTTAAATTCTGTATATATTTATAAATACATAATCTATATTATATAAATTTAAATATTTTGTATATGAATAACACATTTTATTAAATATATACATGCATGTGTGTTTATTTATATATACAAAATTATTATATACAGCACACACAAATATATTATGTAAACACAGACTTTTATTTTGGATGTGATTAATCGCAATTAATTTTTGCACAGCCCTAATTTATTTATTATTTTTGAATATTTTATAAATCAGGTGTATGTTCTGATTATAGTAATTGTATTAGCTGATAAAAAACCTTCACAATTTTCTAAAATGGTAAAAGTTTCTACCATAAATGAAACTTTTTTTCTCTCTCTAACTAACTATCTAACTATAACCAGCAGAAGTTGTACAGGACTCGTCACTGGTTCTCTCCGCACTCTTGATTCTGAATTGAAGCGTGACAGGTCAGCGCTATAGCAACAGAGAGGCGTGGCCAATGACATCAGCAAAGCTGATTATAGCCAGTGTAGCTCCGCCCCCTTCACCTGACCTGCAGGAGATTAGAGAGAGAGTGTTTGTGTGTGTGTGTGTGTGTGTGTGAGAGAGAAAGTGAGTGAGAGTGAGTGTGTGTGTGAGTGAGTGAGTGAGTGAGTGAGAGAGAGAGAGAGAGGGGGAGGAGTCAGACACTGAATCTCTGCCTCACACTCGTCTCCTGTGTTTGAGTAATCAGACTCTCACAGGTGAACTTCTCCCCGTGTGAAGAGCTGGACAGAGAGAGAGAGGGAGTGGTTAAAGCTCAAGGTAAGCTAACCTGTGTAACTCCTTCTCCCTCTCAAACTTTCTCCGGGGGAAAACACACGCTTGGACGCAGAGACGGACCAGGAAGTGCCTTACTCTGGGAACATGTTGAAAGGAGAAGCCTGGAGTTCGTATGCGCCGGCACAGTGAGTTTCCCTTCTCCTGCTGGACTAGAACAACACGGAGAAACTTTACACTCTGTTTTCTTGTTCTCACTTGAGGAACACACTGTGCTTGTGTGTGTGTGTGTTTGGATCACTGGATTCACTATAAAAGCTGAACATCTGAAACGACTGCTGGCACACATGTGAAGTGTTTGCAAATGCGACGGAGAGAAACCCGGGGATTTTCACGGACAAAAACCTTTTGTTTGAAAGTAGAGCGCATGCAGGTTGAAGTTTATCCCGCACTAAAGGCCCGTTCACAACTATAAAGATTACTATTTTAGCGTACACATCATAATTATGTTTATCATAAGCAAGTTCTGTATTTTCACATCCACTTCTGCTTTAAATGCTCGAGCTCTGGATTATGATTGGCTCTGATCATTCATAAATATAGTTCTTCAATACATTTAAAATGATTTCTAAAACGTAATCACGATCGTGTTTGCTGTGAACGGGCCGGTGTTTATGCAGTTATTGCATTTCACTCCATAGGATTCAATGTAAAGAGGAATATGGATCCAGCCAGCAGGGTTTCTTCCAGGTCGGATCAGTCCTCGGCTGTGTTGACGTCGTTTCGAACTTTGCACGATGAAGATTCAAGTTCGAACGGTTATGTTCCTTTAATCCCAAAATCTGGAGAGGGAAAGTTGCTCGGCTCTCCCGTTCAGGATCCGTTTCTCGTGCGCGTGACCCGCGTGGAGACGTACATCGACGACGACGAGGATTCGAAGAGCGTCCAGGGAAGGTCACGTGACTCTGAGGAACGGGAGAAGAAACCCGAGAGCCTCGTGGAGAGATCGCTCCGAGACGCTTCGGTTCTGAGTCGCAACCGGTCTCTGGATCTTCCGTCCCGCGTGTCGAGCGAATCCTGGAAGGAGATACGTTCGCTGAGCATTCACAAGGTTCGAGGAGAAGCGCCGACTCACACAAACGTGAGCAGCTGGAGGCGATCGGTGCCGTTTTACGCGCAAGATGAGGACGTTTCTGTCGAGGATCAACAAGAAGGGAATTCGGGAACAGATCCGGAATCACAAACTGGAGATTCCCAATCTGGAGATTCTCAAACTGGAGATTTCGAGACCTCATTCTCAAGTCTTCAGGTTGAGACAAAAGATGTTTCGGGAACATCCCCTTCGGACAACAAACTGGACGCTAAAGTTGATGATTCACAAACTGGAGATTCAAAAACTTGTGATTCAAAAACTGGAGATTCAAAAACTGAAGATTCTCAAATTGAAGATTTTCAAACTGGAGATTTTGAGACCTCATTCTCAAGTCTTCAGGTTGAGACAAAAGGTGTTTCAGAGACTGTTTCGGGAACGTCCCCTTTAGACAACAAACTGGACACCAAAATCAGCGATTCAAAAACTGGAGATTCAAAAACTGGAGATTCAAAAACTGGAGATTCACAAATTGGTGATTCAAAAACTGGAGATTCACAAATTGGTGATTCAAAAACTGGAGATTCAAAAACTGGAGATTCAAAAACTGGAGATTCAAAAACTGGAGATTCACAAATTGGTGATTCAAAAACTGGTGATTCAAAAACTGGAGATTCAAAAACTGGAGATTCTCAAATTGGAGATTCAAAAACTGGAGATTTCGAGACCTCATTCTCAAGTCGTCAGATCGAGACAAAAGATGTTTCGGGAACATCCCCTTCGGACAACAAACCGGACTCCAAAACCGGTGATAAATACCAGATTCCGGCTTTGTTCAGCGGTTTGCGTGTGCTAAAGAAAGGAGCGATCGGAGACGAGAGGGGAACGGTGTCAGAAATCAAACAGCGCGACACAGACCGAGCTCTTCTCAATCTCAAACAACACGTCAACAAAGCCAGAGTCGAACAGCTGACCGTCTCCAGCGCCACCAAGAAGAAACCCGAACCGAGAAACGTGTCTGAAATCACCAGTCTGCTCCAGAAGGACGGCGTGGACCCGAGCGGAGAGACCTCGGGGAGCGGTGGCAAACCGGCGAGCGATTCCTCGTACGACGCGCTCAAGTCCAAACTCTTCAGCTCCAAACCTGCGAAGAAGGAGCCGGCGGAGGCGCTGCTGGATCTGGACGCCGTGAGGAAGAAGAAGAGGAGCGAGAAAGAGTTGCTGAGGTCCATCTTCCAGAGACAGGCCAGCAAATCTCCAGTCAGCGACGTCAAGAGCCCCACCGAGGCCAAAGTATGTGTGATTTATGACCTCAGGGTGGAAAACTGTCCTTACACAGAGTCTCGACACACAATACTGGAAAATACACAGACATAAAACTCACACAACTAATAGCAATCGTTCATTCTCTACTTAATGGTTTTGTTAACATAGTCACTGAAATGCATCAGAATTATTTTACTAATAATTTTATTATTATTATAATTTTTTTTTATCTGATTTTTAAAGGTCCAAAAAAACATCTTTGCTACACATCAGTGAGTTAAACTGAAAAAGTTACCAACCTCTAAATATTATTTACAGTCTATGAAACTAATAGCACATTTTTGTCCTTATGGAAATAGAATTATTTTCATTTGAACAATTTAGGTTCATTAGTTTTAGAAAATAAACAGAAATGTGACATAAAACTCAAACAACTCTTAAAGTACTATTTATCTAAAAGCAATCATTCATTTTTTACTTGATGGTTTTGTTAACATAGTGACTGAATGCATCCGAATTATTTTATTAAGAATTCTATTATTATTATCATTTTTTTTTTTTTAAGTTCTGTTGTCTGTCCTTACAGGGTGGAAAAAGTCTCAACAAACAATACAAAACAATTGCAAAATAAACAAAAATGTTACATAAAACCCACATACCTCTATAATGAATATAAGTCATAATTATCTAATACCAATCATTCTACTTCGTGGTTTTGTTAACAAAGTCACTGAAATGCATTCATTTCTTGCATCAGAATTATTTTACGAAGAATTCTATTATTATTATGATTTTTTTTAGGGTTTATCTGATTTTTAAAGGTCCAAACAAACATTTTTGCTACACGTCAGTGAATTAAACTGTTTTTTTTTTTTTGTTTTTTTTTTGCAGTCTATGAATTTGTATTTTTGCTAACAGCACATTTTGTCATTATGGATAGGAATTACTTAGATGTAATAATTCAAGTTAATCAGCTTAGTTAACAGTCATTTTATTCACTCACAAACCATTTTTTCTCTTGCGTTTGGTCAGAGTTAATCTCAGATTCTTTGGTATTAGTGCTTTATTATTAATGTACTTTTAGTTAGTAATGAGTGACTAAATATTAATACTTAATGAAATATAATTCCTGCTAACAGGGAACGTTCTGGCAAGTTATGATCAAACATTCACTTCATATAATGTCTATTCAGAGTCTTCCGGTCTTTAATAATGTTATTAAAAAACATATTCCATGAATGATGCATAAATTGTTTCAGTTGGATGTTCATCTTTTTAAATGTAACGGCTTGTTTCAGAACATTTAAAAAGTAACGTTCCCATGTTGTTTGAAGAATGATGAAAGGGAATGTTTCTTTAATGTTCACATAACAAAACATTTTTTAAATATTAACAAATCTGGACATTTTACACACTCAGAAATAACGTTTTCATGGGAACTTTTTTTTGTTATTGTTTTTTTTTTTTAATAAATGAATTTGCTTTATTTGACCAGGAGAGTCTGAGGTTAAACTCTCTTTTACACGAGTGTCTGGCTAAGATAGGCAGCCGAGTTTGCATATACAATTATACATCAAAGTTACAACATAAAACAAAAATATTTAAACTTTAAACGTGCAACCGGTTAAAAACATTTACACACCATTAATTTACTCTGAGGATTGCTTGATACAATTTTAAATTGACTACAAGACACAAAAATCTTTTAGCTTTGATATTCCAATCAGAGGTTTCTGCATTATATTTTTGATTTCTGATTTCCTCTGAGACTTTGGTCTGCTCTGTGTTTGTGTGTGTGTGTGTGTGTGTGTGTGCGCGCTCAGGCCGAGGTGACGTCTCCGTCGGATGGCGAGGACCGAACGCCGGGCCGTCTGCAGGCCGTCTGGCCCCCGCCCAAAGAGGACGGAGAGGAGAAGGTGGGACTGCGCTACACCGAAGCCGGTGAGAGGCTCCTCTTTTCAAATCCCTTCATTTTTATTTTCTTAAAATATAGATTGCATCAAAGCAGCTTCAAAGTATCAATCAAAACATAATAACAATGTTCGTTTCTTAGTGGAAAAACATCCACGTTTGGAGGAGCTGATCAAGGGTGTTACTGATTGGTTAAAGCTACACTGTGTGATTTGTACCCCCATCTAGTGGTGAAAAGATTTATGACCATCCAGTGAATATTAGTTTCTGTTCCTCTCATTTCCGATTTGGTTTTAACTCCTACGGTGGCCAATGTAGTCCAAGATTAACGTGGCTTCCAGTTCGACCTCGTCCATGAGTGTTAACTCAAACGTAAACGCGAAAGGGGAAGCTTGAATTAACGGGTATGTCCCTCTTTGGCTAATGTACATTCAAAATGGAGGGTCAACATGGCGACCGACATTAGAACCCCTTACCCATATGTATTTTCAATGGCATATTATACACTCACGAGAATACATTATTACTTGAAGGAAGTAAATATACATTAATGAGCACGTATATTTTTGAAAGAACTAAGTGTTTTTAGCTAAGAATAAACTAAAAGAGTTACACAGTTCAGCTTTAATTAAGCAAGCTAAAGGCAACAAAAAATAAAGGGAAAACACACATGTACAATGCCATAAAAACAGTAACTATACATGAAAATAACTCCTTTTAGCAGTTCAATTGCACATGCTACATTGCGCTAGGACTTAGAGCTTTTACATTAGAAAAACACCCCGCCTCCCAAAACAATATTGCAACGATTGTAGAAGTTTCTTCCAGTGCTCTACAAACTAAAACATTCTGTACATGAGCAAAAGAGTGAACATACACACTCTTTAATCCTGTGAACGGCGAAGGTGAAAGTCTTACGCTAGCATATAAGCTAATGAGATCAGATCTCTTTCTAAATTAATTTATTCTTTATTCAGGCTCCCTTGTAAAAGAGATTTGAATATCTCAATGGGACATCACCTGGTAAAATAAAGGATAAATAAAAAATAAAATTCTAAATTAATTCATTTAAACTTTATTAAATTGTTACGGTTTAAGTTAATTTACCAAATTATATCACTCTGGAATCCATTAGAAAAAAAAATCTTATTTAATATATGTGTATAATTATTTTGCATATATAAATACACACACATGCATGTATATATTTGAGAAATATTTGTACGTAGATACTGTATAAATATTCAAAACATTGCCCGCCCGGCACTAATTGTATATTTATATATTTTTAATTTGTGTTACTGCCCATCTGTGATCGCAGCAACACTTCCAAAACTGCTTCTTACCCATCACCAATATGCTCTAGAAACGCTTTAATAATGTTCCCGTTAAGTTGAAAATGCTCAGAACATCCAGTGTGTTGTTGTGAACATTTGGGAAATCATCATTCATCAAACACGGGAACGTTACTCTCAATCTAACATTTAATAAATAACTAACATCCACTGAAACGTTTCAGAAAAACACTTGAACGATGTATGAATAATGTTTAGAGAACATTATTAAAGACCAGATACTTTGAATGAACGTTTTATTAATGTTACTGGAAGAACGTTTGACTATCAGAGAACCTTAACAGGACATTAACTATAGTTATAGAGGAGTGTGTGTGTCCTGCGTGATTGTGTGTTTCGCTGTCGTGTGATGCTCTTATTAATCAGGTGTAAAGCAGCATCCCTCGACTGACCCCAGAACAGCGGAGCGCACATACATGGTTTATCAAATTACTCAAAGCCTGTTAATGGCTTCTGACTTGAAACACTAAACCAGCCGTACTGGTTCCTCCAGCGGACACACACACACACACACACACACACACACACACACACACACACACACACACTGTACTGGTTCCTCCAGCTCTGACCTTAACCAGGGCAGCTCAACCTCCCTCAAACATACACACACACACACACACACACACAACATGACCCTCAGAGAACATATCAGTGCTCGTCTGAAAGCGTAAGACATGCATTGAATCATATCGTGTTTCCATCTCGTTTTCCAGCTCAATATCTAAACATTCGTAAATCAAGATATTTACTGGAGGAGCAAAATATATATATATCAAGTCTCATTTTCTGAAAAATGAAGTAAGATTGTGCTTTAAACAACAGTGGTGTCATTGTTTTCACTTTGAATTAAGAGTATTTTTATGATCCCGTTTGCTGAAATTTCTTGTTTTAAGCAGAAACTCATTTTTTGGTACATTTTCAGAAAACAAGTGATCTTGATTTACGAATGTTTGGATATTTGAACTGGAAAACAGACAGAAACACTGAGGAACAATTGTTTTTTCCAGTCCACATCATAAAACTTTCACTGACTTGACTTGAATGTAAGTTTTATGAGCTCATGCAAATGTTAATAGTCAGAAAATATCTATATGGAAGCATTGAGCTTTACATGAATATGACCACAAATTCAATGCTTTAAACACAGTCTGACGTCTCAACAACCCAGCTAACAAAATAAAAAAGTAATGGAAAAAATGTTGTGAGATGTTCAAAATGCCCATTTTTACAAATGTTTGAAACATGTTTTTTCAGTGTGAACGTTATTGAAACATTAATGGCATCAAACATCAGAAAACATTAATGGCATCAAACACAGAAAGTTCCATTATTTTTGCTGTTTGTTATGTCAAGCCAAGTCAGTTTTATATGTACAGTACTTTATACAGTACAGCTTGTTTCAAAGCATGTGTGTGTGTGTGTTTGTGTGTGTTCCTCAGAGCACCAGGCCGCCCTCCTGCAGCTGAAGAGAGAGAGTAAAGAGGAGCTGGAGAAGCTGCATGTGAGTGTGGAGACGCTGCAGTGCCGACGCCAGACACTAGATGTCGCCAGAGCCCGCGTGATCTAACACACACCGCTGCTTCTGACTGACAACGCTTATTATAGCTAAACATAAAACAACAATTTTAACTTAAAATAAAATATAAACACACCATTTTAAATTATATTATACTGTAGTCAACATTTGAAGTGGATCAAAAAAGTTGTTTAACATGTTTAAAATTCATGTAAAACTTTGAAAGGTTTTTAATGCACTTCGAGTGTTGACTACTGTACATTACGAATAAAATATG